TCATGGAGTACCTTAGGAAGAAAGCCCGGCAAAGCCATGAAGCGATAACTACAGACACCACCATTCAACGCACTGTACGCTATGGCGAAAAGGCTTTCCGTGCTGCTCCTTCGGTCGCTGGACAATACCTGCTCCAGAAAGCCCCAATCATTCAGTGGCTCCCCAAGTACAATCCGAGATGGTTTCTCAACGACACTCTAGCTGGAATCACAGTCGGCGTGCTGCTCATCCCTCAGTCACTTGCGTACGCAAAGATTGCCACAATTCCAGGGCAGTATGGCCTCATGTCGAGTTGGCTACCCAACTTCCTCTACCTTATCATGGGCACCTCAAAAGGTACTACCCTCGCTCCTGTGAAGTTTGTAGACTAATGGCAATCCTAGATCTCTCAACTGGCCCTACATCACTTATGGGTCTGTTGACTGCCGAGATTATCGAAGACGTTTCGAAAGACGGATACAGTCCCCAAGCCATTGCGTCAGCCGTTGCCATGTCTGTTGGAATATACTCTATGGCGCTCGGCTTGCTGAAATTGGGGTTCCTGCTAGAGTTTATATCTGTACCAGTCTTGAGCGGCTTCATCTCGGCGGCAGCTATTGTCATTATGCTTGGTCAAATCCCATCCCTATTCGGAATCTCAGTTCGCTCCGGCACAGCCCACATTATACACGACCTCTTCGCTAAGATACCCCAATATGATGGCCCAACTTGCGGAGTTGGTCTTGGTGGGATATTGCTGCTCTATCTCATGCAGAAGATGGGCCAGCGCTGGGGAAAGAAGAACAAGGTCGTCTGGCTACTAGCACTTGGACGCAGTGCTGTTGTCCTTGTTCTTTTCACGGGCATCTCGTATGCTGTCAACAAGAACATTGATCTTGAGAAGGATGATCCTGTTTGGGCGCTTAGCAAGGTCAAGTCCGATGGCATCGCAACGCCCCGCATGCCTAACTCGGCTCTCATCAGCAAAGTATTTGCTCGTTCCATTGCCCCCTTTATAGCTGCGGCGCTTGAGCATCTGGCCATCGCTAAGGCATTCGGTCGAAAGAACGGATATGTAACCGATGCTGCCCAAGAGCTTGTCTACCTTGGCTTCTCCAACTTCTTCAACTCGTTCTTCTCATCCATGTCTGTCGGAGGCGCCATGTCGCGGACTGCAGTCAACTCTAAGTCTAGGGTCAAGTCACCTGCCTACGGTCTAGTCGCTGGTGGTGTAGTCATCCTGAGCATCTTCAAGCTTTCGCCAGCGCTATATTGGATCCCCAAGGCCACACTAGCAGCCATCATCGTCACAGCAGTATGGCACATTGTAGTCCCTGTCCGAGTTTTCTACGGCTACTGGCGCACCTCTCTAGTCGACTTCATTACCTCCATGCTCGCCTTCTGGCTCACCCTCTTCGTCTCATCCGAAGTCGGCATCGGTACGGCGGTCGGCTTCAACATTGTCTACCACCTCCTCTTCATGGCCTTCCACCGTGTCCGTCGCATCACATCCATCGCCGTAGAATCTAACGCGCGTATACCAGGTACACATGGCGTCCCCATGGACACCCAAGTCTTCCGCATCCACCAATCAATGCTCTTCTACAACGCATACCACATCAAGAACCAGTGCCTCGACAGTGTCCAAACATACAACTCAGGCGATGTCGCAACACTTGAAGCTGCGCACGCAAACCGCAACTGGAGTGTTGCTGGCAAAGACCGCGCTGCGCGTCTCCGCTCCAAAGCAGACATTATCGATGAGCCTGTCCAAATCCGCAACGTCGTTATCGACATGCGTGCCATGCACAACATTGACACCACTGGCCTGACTGCGCTCAAAGACCTTAAAGCCGATGTCGAGGCTTTTGGCGGCAAGAACACGCAGTTCAGACTTGTGGGTCTGAACGAGCGGGTGCGCGAGCGCTTTGCCCGGTTTGGATGGAGTTTACGTGATGGGCCAGGTGTGGGTGGTGAAGATGCGGAGAGGAAGAGTACCCGTGTGTATGAGTCGCTTGAGGATGCTGTATTTAGGCGGCTGAGGACTCTTTCGACAGATGAAATTACAGTTGATCCGGTCGAGGTGCATGTCGTGGGGGATGAGAAGGAGAAGGTGTAGGACGATTGTTTTTTCTTAATTAGGTTATTTTCTTTCGATATTGTAGTAGCTATGGAACATAAATTTAGAGATTTTCTGTTTGACGTTTTACTGTTTCGATTCTTCATTGCCAACAATTTTTAAAAGAGGATTATTTCTTTTTGAACACAAAAATTCAGCCATTGTGATCTGAAAGCACATATGGATTTGTGGCGTACTGACTCTTCGTAAAATAAAACGCTAGAGTGAAAACTGTCACAACCAGAATATCACAATATCAGCAGGGTGGACTTCACAGCAGCGATATACACAATAAGCAATATTACAATGGTACATAAGTCTGTATGTAAATACGTGACATTCCTGTGTACAGAATTCATGATTTGAATGTGCTGCAGTGCGGGGGGGAGGCAGTTGTGTATGGCATCTTTATTTTAATAATTACTAACTATCTCTATTCTATTATTCTTATCTGACGATAGGTACTAGTATAGATTACATGATATTTCTATGGTATATAAGTTTATATGCAAAAAAAGTCACATTTCTGTATGCAAAATCAATTATTTAACTGCTTTGTAGTGCGAGAGGTTAGTTTTGTGCGGTATCTTTATTTTAACGGGAGCTGTTTTTAGTCTATTGTTCCCTTCCACCAACTGCTAGTAACATAGGTCACTCTGAAATATATTTTTATGTCTTTTGCTTGCAATATATACTTAGGGATCCTGTATAATAGTTCACAGAGTAATGTATATTCCAAAAAAAAGAAAAACAATGTCTTTAAGGTCAGTGACAGTCGACAAGCAACTCTGCATCTCCACCTTAGGAGTAATGACGTCGGAAGCCAAACCACACACTATTGTTTTTGTCACATCGCCGATATAAGCGCCATACACGTCATTAGACAACACTCTAGTTCGTGGACTTGGCTGTCTGTAGTGGCATCACGCCCGTCGCAGACTATATTCTGACAGCTCGCACAAAATTCGCACCACCAATCCCCGAGAACAAGTCTTCCACGTTGCATCGTGCCAAACACGTGCAACACCTGTGCATCTGTTTGGCATCAGCATCTCTCCTACTTCTCCTAGCAGTTTTCATCACGTGTTTTGACAGATTCAAGCGCAAACCGCGACAGTTCATGGTGCACTATTCATCTTCGTTTTGCATCAAGATGCTGCTGTAAGACATCTCCAGTGCAAACCAGCTCGACACAGAGTGTCATTGTTTTATACACGTGCTGCTGCGTCTGATCTCGTTTGGTCACAGAGAAGTCGAATCGAGAAACGTATTGTATACACCTCCGCACACATCTCCCCTCACACCTTCACGCCTCAATGCGCAAGTTCCACGGGGGGGGAGGAGCCTCGACAGCCTCGTCCAGCTCTCTTCCCCGTCACCCTTCCCCCCCAGACAATCCAGACCTTCTAGAAAAAATTCTATTTCCGTCCCTCTTATATCGGCCCCAACTATTGCTGACCCACGATTCCCCATCGCTTTAACTTACAAAATGTTTCTGGAAACCCGTCAAACACCGCCCCCCCAAGCTCCATACCTCTCCACCCCTTAGATAGACAAAAAGATATCTTGTTACTATATTCTGCATCTGATCTAGCCCCCATCATACCCCATTCATGCCTTCCAACGCACCCCCTACCCGTACCCAAGAAAAGAGATAGAGAAAGGACAGTGCTCACATCTTGCATTTTGAGCCGCATGCGCGCCCCAACTATCAGCCCCAGTTTCAGAAAAGGCGTGATCATAGCTCTGCCTTTTTCTTAGGGCTGTTGCACAGACGCTGAGGAAAAAAATATGTGAGTATACTAGGCTTGTTCGTAAGGTGTGTGCCAAGGGGTCTTATTGGTTTGACGTTGGGCGTCGCAATGCCTTTGAGCCAACAGTGTTGCCCGTGCTTTCACATGTTTCACTGGGCTGATGATATCAGACGATGAGTTCCTTAGTAAGGGCGTTGATGTTGTTCCAATAGTATCATCGATGTTGGTGTGGTCCCTGGTGTAGTTTAGTAGCGATGATGTGTTACTCCTCACGTGCAGATAGTGTATTGATCCTGCAGCTGCAAGTCCCCTTCTCGAGCAGGAAATTGTTTTTGAAAGTCCCTCGACCCTACAGCGGGCTAAGAAATTCTCCGCTGCTGTCGATCAAACGGCATCTTGGGGGAGGGGGCAGCGCATGATGGGCCTTGGTACATGACTTGTGGTGTTGAGGTAAGCAGCCTTGTGGGGAAAGGGAAGAGGAGGGCCCAGACAGCGATACTATGGCATAGCGCACTCTGTGTATTCCCATGGATTCTTTATGGGGTAAACTAAATTTAGTAGTGAAACGGTTTGATCAAGGCATGTGTAACGCGACACTAGCTCGCGCGGCAGCGGTTCGGCTCTATTACGCTACACGGCGCCAAAAGGTACAGTATACCGCATAATTAGCACAGTTTGGGCCCTGAGTAGCTACATATTGTGACACTACCTGTTTAAGACTGGTTTAGAGTGCCCAGACAAAGCTAAAGTCAACGCATAGTCTTCAAGAAGGCTTTGAAACACGTGACACCTATACTAAGTGTTTACTCTTGACTGAACTATTCATGCTCACGTGCCGCAACTGTCCATGCTTGCGCAACAGAACTATTCATGCTAGATGTGTTTGTCCTAAATAGTTGTTAGCGTGTGCTTGTTAAAGTATAGTTGCTGACAGCTACCTAGGCCGTGCGCTGTGAATGCTAGACGAGTAACGTCTATGCTAAGGGACTCTGATGTTTCTCGTGTTTATGCTCCTGTCTTGGTACCTGTATCGTTGATACTGTAGTAACAACTTGGCGTTCAAGCCTGGTGTTTGTGTTTTCAAGAAGTATCGCATCTTGAGAGGTATAAAGATAGGAAGTTGCGCATCATTTGCAAATCATCAGATCAGCATCACTCGATCTATCATCACTTCCATTCTCTCTCGGTCTCGCAGGTTGACGATCACTCACTTTTCAAATTCACTTCGAAAGTCGAATTCGCAACTTCAAGCCGGTCTTTTTACCCAACTTCATTCCTACCAAACCCCACCCACTCTTTCAACATGCATCCCTCCACTATCGCTGCCATCTTGGCCTTCACTGCCGGCATGGCTGTCAACGGCGCGCCGCTTAACCCCACTGTTGGCATCAACCCCCCCTCCAGGCTTCTAACCATTGATGATCTTCAATACAGGCCTGAGCAGTAAGTCTTCCATAGCAAACATTACAGGGCATTAGGTTAACAGCATTAGGGGTGATGCCATTCACCAGTTGGTTGACAAGCGTGATCCTCAGCGCAGCCGTGGCCGTCTCATTGGCAACATCGCTGAGGGAATTGGCGGTGCTATTGGCGGTGCTGCCGACTTCCTTACTATCGGCGGTGCTGTCCAAGGCCAGCCCCAGAAGCGTGATCCTCAACGCAGCCGTGGCCGTCTCATTGGCAACATCGCTGAGGGAATTGGCGGTGCTATTGGCGGTGCTGCCGACTTGCTTACTATCGGCGGTGCTGTTCAGGGTCAGAACCAGAAGCGGGATCCTCAACGCAGCCGTGGCCGTCTCATTGGCAACATCGGCGAGGGAATTGGTGGTGTTATTGGTGGTGCAGCAGATCTGATCACAATTGGCGGTGCTGTCCAGGGCCAGCCTCAGAACCAGAAGCGCGATCCTCAACGCAGCCGTGCCGTCTCATTGGCAACATCGCTGAGGGATTGG